CACACACACACACACACACACACACACACACACACACACACACAGGAAGATTGTTGATTTATGTATCTGCACAACACTGCCAATTAGATGTGTATAAGGGTCACTGAATGATGTGTATTATTCAGAACTAATACTTAGAATTAAGAGTTGCACTGTACTCAATTTGCAACATGCTTAGCATAGAGAAAGAGCATCAAAAGAATGATATGTGGTAGGTTTACCTCGTCCTCTAAAAGAAGTAATTGTGTAGGTACTGGCATGGGGACAACTTACCATTCGATGGTCCAGGAGGAATCCTTGCTCACGCCTATTTCCCCCAGACACAGAGAGAGGGAGAAGTCCACTTTGACTATGATGAGCACTGGACAGTGGGCAATAATGCTGGTAAGTACATTTGAAAAGCTTTGAGCTGATTGGAACCAAAAATAACTACTCTCAGTTTGACTGCCCTCCTCTGTTTGCTTTTTTAGGCACAGACCTCCTCCAAGTGGCAGCTCATGAGTTTGGCCACGTTTTGGGCCTGCAGCACTCCCTTGAGCCCGATGCTGTGATGTGCCCATTCTATAGTGACGCTTACCCTCTGCAGCTGAGTGAGGATGACAAAAGGGGCATTCAGTATCTGTACGGATCCCCTCGGCATGCGCCACCTGTGATGACAGAGACCAATGAGATTGAGACTGAACTGGTGAGGCCCTTGAAAATACATGTATTTACTTAGAAAAATATAAGCCATTCTGTATTTTGCTGCTTTGCATGATAGTTCATAGACAAAAATATTCAGACTAAGTTTGTTGCTGTGTTCCAGCCAAATGCTTGCAAAACAAACTTTGATGCTGTATCCATGATCAGGGGAGAGCTCTTCTTCTTTAAGTCTCAATATATTTGGCGAATACGTGATGGGCAGCTACAAGCTGGCTATCCAGCTTTATCATCACGCCACTGGAAAGGAATTCCAGAACACATTGATGCTGCGTTTGAAGACAAGTCTGGCAACATCTGGTTCTTCCAAGGTACAGACGCGAACTAGACAGTTTTTTTCTGGGGGACACATTAAACAAGTATTTTCCACAAAATATCCTTTGTTCCTCAAAACTAGTCAAGCAAAAGTGATTTGATAACTTTAATGATATGTAGGGATTGCTAATTAGGAAACTGAAAGTTAAAGTTGTTAGGCAGTCAGAATGTAAAGAAAACAGCTATCAATGACTTTTGCAAATGTAGTTTACCTTAAAGGAAGATACACATGGACTGTAAAATTCTTAACTGCCACGTGGAAGTTAAAATAGTGAGTGAAAGGGAGTGAAGTCTTTATAAAATGTGTGTCTGGTGAGTTCAGTTAAGGGAGAAAGAAACTCAGGAGCCAATCAGTGATGAGAAAGTGAAGAGAGGAAATGAGGTAAATCTGGGGAAACGTGGGAACATGAGGAAAAAGGTTAAATAAAATAATAATCTTCACCACAGTGACACACGAGTTTATGGTAGAAATATGTAGCCTTGAATGTTGTTGTTACATGGTTGTTCTTTTTCACAAGGATGTGCTTTACATGTATTCAGCTGGGATGATTTCTAGAAACAACATCCTGGTGACTTATTAATTGTAATTAATTCATTATTTTAATTAATTTTAATTATTACTTATCAGGTGACAGCTACTGGGTTTTTGATGCTGAAAGGAAGATAACAGGGCCAGATTCAGTGAGACGGCTGGGTCTTCCTGTAACAGACATTGAAGCAGCTTTGAAGTGGGAAGAGGACCATACTGAGAAAGTCTACTTCTTCAAGTCGAGTTACTACTGGTCCTTCAATATTCAGGATAATCGAATTAATGACTTACACCCTCGCAGCATTTACGAGTGGAGGGGAATGCCCAGCCACATCGATGGAGCCTTCTTGGACAGATATGGTGAGGAGTGTAATCTCTGCCTCTGACTTAGTGACTTGTAGGTCTAGAGAAGGTTTTAACATGTACATCTGGAGTTCACTGTTGCATTCTTTTGCCCTTTGACAGGCTATGCCAATTTCCTGAGTGGAATGCACTACTGGAAGTTTGACCCTGTGGCACTGAAGGTACTGGAAGGCTACCCCCGGAGCATCGGCATGGATTTCTTTGGCTGCTCTGCCTCTCTGTCCAAATAAGTTACATCTGCATTACTTTTACAGATCATTTTTTCTGTTAAATTTCCCATACAAAACACTCAAGATGTTTTGGCTATATTCAATCTGATAGATTTCATGAATTTGACTCTAAAGGAAGTGTCTGTATTTGCCTTTTGCAGAGCCAGAAATGTTTCTGTCAGTGTCAGAATACAATCTGGAGAAAGCTAGTTAAAATTGTTAGTGTCAGTTCAATAAAAACTTCAGATCCAAGCTTATATCCCCCCATCTCAGCTGACTGCAGGCTTCCCCAACCTTATAAACAGTACGTTTGCATAATGACTAAAACTGGCACCAGTGGCTAACAATGGGCTGTGAGGTCAGTTTCATGGTCATTATCATGCAAATTGGCATGATGTTTTGGGAAAATGCATCTCAGCTGTTCCGATACTCGTGACACATAAGGGTTCACTAAGGGTTTTTGCTTAGGCAGCAGTTGTCTGTCTTCTCTCCTGGATCGGCTGGAGCTTTCTTTAAGCACCTTCCCAGCTTTGACAAATGTCCAGCTGAGATAACCACATTTACTCAGGGCCTTCTTGATGTCATGTTCTTCTGTTTCCCAGGCCCGTCTTTGTAAATGGTATCATGGCTATTGATCAATGATGAAAGAAGTCACTTGGAAGATGAACAAAACTCCCACTGAAAATTAAACAGAATTAACTTTCTGGAACTGCTTAAAATGATAACTCATAGTACTCATGCCCCGAGTATTCAAAACCCACACACTCATAAACTGTTCTTTTGAGTGTTTGAATAGTTTTAATTAAGGGATTAAGGCAAACACTTTCTTACATTAGTCTGGCATTATTGATGAGTTGCGTCAGTGGTAGAAACAAACAAACAACAACAACAAAAAAAATGTGTAGTTTTGATTTGATTGAAATCTTCAAACTCACTTTCAAGGAATCGGAGTTATTTACACGCTTTAAAAATATTTAAGAGTATTCTCCTGTTGTGTTAGCTGTTCATTAACCATACACACCTACTGGAGCCACTGACTATATTGTTTGTTGGCTTACAACCACAGATTGCATCTAAAAATGATAGATGTAGCTTCCTGGTTTGAAGAGGGAAGTCAGTGTGGATGTGCCTGAATCCTAAATTCTACTCCAATGTTCAGCAGGGAGCAACTCCTCTGCTTGCAGAGCCTTATTTTTGCCATTTGATAGCAACAGTGGAGACAGATAGGAAAGCAAAGAGAGAGAGGGTGGAAGACATGCAGCAAAGAGTCCCAGGTCAGATTCACTGTATTCTGGTCATGTGGTATATATGTGTATATCTGACCATGTATGTTTAGGGATGGCTACATCTCGGGAGGTAGAGCAGGTAATCTACTAATTGGAAAAGTGGTTATAAGAAGTGGTTATAGCTGTGCTAATAGAATAGCTCTACAGATGGCAGGTTCAAGTATCTCACCAAATGCTGCATGGATTGTACAGAGGACTGGCCGCTACAAGTTCTGATATGTTGTTTTGTTTTGTTTTCGTTTTTTTTTTCTCTGAGTAGAATAAAAAATGAATAAAAATGTAAAGGTTTTCCTAAGTAGTAACTTCAACCACAGTTTAGTTCTGAGAAAAATTGCTTTAACTAAATTCCCCCTCAGCTGTCCCCAAATGTGTGTTGTCATTGTATATATAAACATGTACAAATCCAGTTTTACAGAACTGTGGACACTGTGAAAAATGTAAATAAAAACAGAGAATTATGATTTGCAAATATCAAATACATTTGCAAATAAACCCAGAAATTATTCAAAGTAGAAGATACTGGTAAACTGAGAAAATGTACCATTTTAAGAAATAGGTATTTTTAATGGGAGCAACACATCTCAGAAAACTTAGGGGCATAATTACATCTGTGTAGTGTCCCTTCCTCTTTTCACTACATTCTGTAAATGTGTGGGAGCTGAGGAGAGCGGAACGTGGTCCCGTTCTTGTCTCATAGAGGATTATAGCTGCTCAGCAGTCCTGGGTCTTCTTTGCCATATACTTCATGATGCTCCCAATGTTCTCAGTTGGTGAAAAGCCTGGACTGCAGGCATGTCAGTTCAACATCTGCACTCTTCTACCACGATGCTGCTGAAACAGGTACTGTATGTGGTTCAGCATTTTCTTACTGAAACATGCAAGGCCTTCCCTGAAAAACACGTAATCTTGGTGGAGCACACGTTACTCTAAAACCTTGATATGTCTTTCAGGATTGATAAAGCATTTCCAGCTGTGCAAGATGCCAATTTCATAGGCACTGATACATATCTAGACCATCAGATATGCAGGCTTTCAACTGAGTGCTGATAAAAAGCTTGATATTCCTCCTTCCTCTTTAGTTCAGAGGACATGTTTCCAAAAACGTATTTCAAAGTGTTCTGAATTTTTTCACTTTACCTCAGTCCATTTTATCTTAGCTTTGGTACATTAGGGTCACGTTCACATATGATTCCTTCTTCGCACAACAGATAATTAACTTACTGAAAATGATGAGATATTCAAAGTTTTTCACTGACAATATCTATTCTGAAATTGTTCCACAACTTGAAGACTTTTTTTTTGTAGATAGACGAACCTCTGACCATGTTTACTTGCAGCTCCAAGATGCTTCTTTTACACTCAGTCATGTTTGTAACCTGTTGCCAATTAACCCAGCTATTTTTTTTAATTAAAAACCACTTACTTTTCCAGTGTTTTGTTGCCTGTCCCACCCTTTTGAGACATGTTTTTGGCATCAAACTCAAAATGAGCCAACCTTCTTACAGAGGTACATTTTCTGAGTTTAAAGGGCTGATATGTCCTATATTGTATTGCAAATAAAAATATGGGTTTGTAAGATGTATAAATCATTACTTTCTGTTTTATTTAGATTTAACACAATGTACTTACCTTTTGGAATTGGCTTTGTACATACATGTGTGTGGCTGGCCCTGTGAAACTGGGTTAGTGGTTTTACTGCTTCACTCTCCTTTGACCTCATCCACGGGCCATTTAGCCCCTCGGAAAACGATCTGCAAGTCATTTCTTTAAAAGAAAAATCAGGACCAGCCAGGAAATGATGCATTACTATAATAATGTAATTGCTCACAAAAGCAATTTCTAGCCTTTTATTCGGCTTCAGCAGAGGTAAACTGTTGTTCTGGCACTGGCCTGATGTGAGAAACGATTGGTTTGCTTTTGCATTGTGTGGCACTGACAGCCTGTGTTGCAAATCCAGTTTATCCATTTTATTTTTTTATAACTAAACTAAATAGTATCCAGAATAAATGAAGCTTTGTGGTTAATCTTAAATTTTTAAGGTGCTACTTAAGGTTCTGTAGACAAGACAGACACATGCCTCACATCTGCTCTTTTCAGTGTTAAGGTTGTCTGCTGATTCCTCAGAAAACCACTGAGTGAAATTTTTAAAAACATAAACAAAGGTAAACAAAACAAAAAGTCTCTGTGATATAAACTGTGGTTCACTTACAGTAATGCATATTTTTTATGGACATTACATATTTTAGTTTGTATTCAGTACTGTTTGCTATTTTTTGTAATAAACAGTGCAGGACACTGAGGATTGCAATGATTTGTAAAATACACTGGTGTGCTTGCAAAAAACAGCAGTCCATCATAGCATGGACAGTTAGCTGTAATTTTAATCATTGCAAATGTGCCTTTTATATAAACTCTCTGTTTACCATTATATTCAGGGGTATTTCATGTGAATAAACCAGTTCTGTATTTACACAAAAACAAACAAATTTTCCTGTTTTTGAATTCAAGCTTTATAATAGAAAAAAGTTTGTATGGAGGTGCTGAGTGAACTGAAAGAAACACGTCGATACTGTTCAGTGAACAGCATTGTGGTAAGTTGTCTTTAGCCTGCTGCTTTGATTCATATCAAGAAACCTGATCTCATTCCCAACATTTATGGACAATTCTTGCTACATTTAACACATCCCTTTAGCACTATTCTTAAACATACATGGTGCAACCACAGAATGGCTACATATATAACAACTAACAAAAGCATAAGGAGGCAGATGCTTTATAAGCTGACACAGTCATGAGTTAAACCCAGAACACAGAGATGGCTGTGCGGTCTTATGCCGTCTATTTGGCCTATTAGAGTCTTCCATCTACACTATCTAGTGCTATATAATATTATACCTGCGAGGCATAATCAGTCATGTGCAGCATGTCTCCTCTGACTACATAGATGTGGACACCACGGCATATCAAATTTTACACCATAAAAGCAAACTACTCTAATACAACATCTCACCTTCAAAAAGCAGCACAAAGGTGTACAAGGAATAGAATTTCTGAAAGTGGAAACATTTAAATATCCATGGTCAAATCTCCAAAGCAACAGAGAGTGCATAAGAGAGAGGAAGAGGAGCATGGCGACAGTGTGGAGTGGGTGGAGAGGGGTTTGACAGGAGGATAGCAGCAAGAGCGAAAGGGAAGATTTCCAAGATGATAGTAAGACCTGTTATGGCATATGGTTTGGACGATGGCAGTGACCAGGAAGCAGAACTGGAGGTTGCAAAGTTGAAAATGCTAAGATTTTGATGGTGACTGATGAGAACTGACAGAATAGAATTGAGTACATCGCAGCTCAGCATTTAGGAGACAAGGTCAGAGAGGCAAGGCTGGGGTGGTTTGGGCATCCCGAGCAGGGACAATGGATATACTGTTAGCAGGCATGAAGGAGTAAAATAGGAAAATCACAGAGAAGATTCATAGATGTAGTGAAGGAGGACATGCAGAGGGCTGATGTGAAAAGGGAGGATTATAGAGACACGGTAATTTTGAGGCAGATGACCCGCTGTGGGTGAAAGGCAGCAGCCAAAAAAAAAAAAAAAAAAAGTAGAAGGAAAAATTGCATCACAGTAATTTCTATATCATATATTTACATCTTGCCTTGAGCATTTTAATGCATATTATGATTAATGACTAAAGAGACAAATGAAATCCAGCCATTTTTTCACCTCCCATAAATCTCATGTAAGTAGATTGATAAATGTGCTATTCTCATTTTTAGCTTAAAAAACCCCTTGCCTTTAGGCTTAGCAGGTCTGTGCAAGATGTTTTTATAACACAGATGAATATATTTTTAGGCCCAAGTCTAAACTGTCATAGTTCTGTTCTGTGTTTGTTTATTGTTGTTTTGATCTTGATTATATTTCCTAGTTTAGTTTTCTTTGTTTCTGGCTTTGATTATGTTTTATCTCGACGGATTATGGTTTATTTTAGGTTGTTTAGCATTTCCCTTTCTATCATGTCCTTAGTATTTTGTCTCTATGTTATGGATCTCCTTCTGTGTCCCTGTCTGACTCTGTGTTTCGTCTCCCTTACCTTTTCCTATGTTCCTCTCTTCCTGTTTGCTTATCCCCATCCTAGTGTCAAGTTTGTGAAACTTTGTTATTTTGTTAATCCTTGGCTCATGTGCATTATGTCCAGTTTTGTTTCCCTTGTCTCGTTACAACTAATTCGTTCCTGCTTGGGTCCCATGTGTTTCCACTCCCCTTGTCACCCCTCAGCGTATTTTTCTGTCTTCCTTTGTTGGAGCGTCTGTTAACCTACCTGTGTCTCTATGTCCCAAGTGTTTAGTTGGATTTCTTATTTTGTGTTTGTCAATCAGCCTGAATAAGCAGCTTGTCTTTTGTTAAAGCTACTCCCTGCTTCCATTGTCTGCATTTGTGTTCTCACTCTCCACTTCTCACCATCTGCTGCAGCAGATCTTGACAACTCAGATCTGCTACATGTGTCTTAATTTGTTTAGCTAGACATTTGCTCTTTACCTGCAACTTCTGACTCTGTCTTCTGACAGGGATCAAACACATAGAAAGATATCAATCTGAGGGAACATGCAAATATAGTTATACAATTGTATCACTTAGATAACAGTGATAATTTAAATTAAAATGCTATGTGTGGGGAGCACATGTGAAGACAATTGAAATGGAACCACTATTCTAGCTTCAGGAATTTCATTATATGAAGAAAGTTGCTGCAGTTGGATGTTACTTTCTGAATCAGGACAAGGTTTTGGCGAAAAACAATTACTTAGAAAAACCTGTCAGGTTGGAATATTGTTAAGTATGCATCAAAATTATTAACCAAACAAAGATATGTTCCACTCGCAGAGTGTGGAACCATGCTCACAAGACTATGTAATTTGTTGCATAATAGTTAGGGATAGTTGCTGCTGCTCAAACTTCATCCAATGTATTGTCTGCTGTGACTTAGGGCTACAAAATTACATTATTTTAAAAACGTACTTATCTTGTATCAAAAAAAAAATCCCACAGATTTGTTTTTTGTAACTGAGGGCTTTTATTTTGAACATTTCACATTTTTAAAGCATACTAATCTTCCAGTAAGAAAGTTTTATTTTGAAAATCTGACACACCTTGTCCCTCCTGTTAGTCATTGTCAGGGTCTGGGACTGTTACCTTTGTGCACAACTGCGTGTATGTGTGAGAACGAGGGAGAAAGGTCAAGAGTTATAAATAGCAGCTTACGCACATATGACCTGAGGTGGAATTACATCATTTTTTCCAAACTATAAATATTTGCGCTTCCCATACTTATATATCCATACTCAAAATCACAGACAGCCTCTGAGACACTGTTAGATGGATAAATAACTCTAAATAGGTTGAAATGTGTGTGTGGAACACACTGAAATGGAGGCAAATGACATGTTGTGGCGACCCCTAAAGGGAGAAGCCGGAAGAAGGGGATTAGTGGGAGACGTGTGTATATATTTGAGCCTGTATGGTTTAGAGAAAATCCAAAATATTTCTGAAGAGCGTGTGACAGAGTAGATTAGGCAGACATTCGGGATGGGCTTCTAGCTGGCACACCAAACAGGATTCACAACGAAGAATGAGAGGTAAGCACTGCTCATCTGGCCATTAAAAGAAAACAAACAAGCAAGTAAATTAAATTGCTGAATCATAAATTGCCTGAGCAGCAATACCACGGTTGTAGATCAAAAATCTAGGAACAGGTGGTGTAGAAGACTGGGCTTAGGTACTATCACTGATTGCAGGTTAGAGAACAGGTCCTGGGAGCTCTCTGGACCATGCTTACTCCTGAAAAACAGTGGTTAGTTCCAGCCATATGTGCACTTATTTACAGAGATAGCTGAGAGAAAGAGATAGAAAAAGGGGAGATAGATAGAGGGCAGATTGCAACCTGGAGGATGTGGAAACGTGACACATGCATGGTCTCATCAGGAGAACAGCCACAGGAAGGCGCACACATACTGCTGCAATGCATCTCAGCCCACAATTTAAATGAAAATTTGGATTTATTTGTGTGAATTCAGCACTCAGAGGGATGGTGATTTTTGTTTGCACTGGCCGCAATGATTCATTGAATATTTCAAATAATTCAATTATAAAAACTTCTCGACACAAATCCTTTGCCTCAATGCTCCGTTTAATGCACGGCTCTGTAATACTGCTCCTAAATGGTATGTGAATAAAAACTGTGACAACATTAAGCCCACACAGCCCCCAGTTTTGAACAGAAACACTGATAACACAACAGTAGCAGTGTTGATGACGCTGGCACAGTTTAATGCGGAGCCGGAGTCAGTTTACACATCGTGGTGAGCTCGGGTAGAGCTTTACTGGGGAAAAGCTGCTGGAGTCCTTCATCTACGCACCTGATCAACAAAACTCTGACATGATAAGCAAACTTTGTATAGCTGCTCCACCAACCAACATCTGTTTTACACAGAGAGAAATCTCCAGTAAGTCTCAAAAAGTTGTATTAAAATATGCAGATGAACTGTTATCCCAGCCCATTGTTCCTTCAGTGGGCTGGTTTCAGTCATTATGCAAATGTACTGTTTACAAGATTGGGGAAACCTGCAGTCAGCTGAGACTGAAGAAGTCACTTGGATGAGTGACGAAACGTTGCTTCCATGTAAAATCGGACAGCTGCTGTCAGCCATGATCAAGCTGTATAATTTAAACATAATATCAGACTAAGTTAACCCTACGTCCAGATGAACAGAATCAACTTCTGGAGATTTACTTATCTGGATGATTGAGCATGCATCAAGACACTAGACCATATTAATTTCAAGGCTTTCATAAAATGTTTCAGATTGAAAGTGAAATAATATAAATTGCATTAATATTTACAATATAAAAATAAAAGCTTTTTTACAAGCAAAAATAAAATAAAATAAAACACACATGGGCAGTAAAACGCTGGGCCACTGACCTGAGGGTTGTTAGGTTGGACACTGATGATTGGTGTGGAAGAATAGTGGCTCTATTCTGAACCCCTCACCCTGTCACTAAGGGAAAGCCCCCTTTAGGAAAAAGCTATTTTCTGCCATTTGTATCTGCAGTCTCATTCTAATAGGGTCAGCAAAAAAGATCAGGGCTATATTAACTTATATATGGTGTTTCTTAACAACCGTCTGGTGGCAAATGGCTGCATAACATTTAGGACACAACAACTAGTAAGTTTGGTACCAACTAGTGACAATATCGCAATTAGTCGACTCGACGCACACATCCCTAATCTTACTTCATACGTCTTTTGACCCAATTGGTAACACAAGTGCATTACACTGATTACACAAATCAGTAAGATGTTTCCCTTTCCTAAAAAGAGTGTCATTTAGAAAACAATGACCTCTTCTTATTCTACTTATAATTAGAATTACCTCCTCCTGCCTACTTATTCCTCTATTTCTTGTAACGTGAACGGTTTTGTACTTTATATAAATGTCTCCCTTTTACTTCATTATCCCACGCCATTTCTCATAAATTCTTAATTTCTTTCCAAACGTTTCCCTTGAGAATTCGACAACGGTATCTGCATATCAATATCTACTTTTTAATAGCTTCTTTGGCCAACCTATCTGCTCTTTCATTACCCACAATACCTATATATATATGTGCCATATATATAATAATATATATGGCACATAACACAACATAACTCAAAAAACTGCCACCTGGCGAAAGCACTAATGCGTATGACGTATCGCGATCTACGTGCAGGCACGTCCGTGACGTAACTATAAGAGGGCGCCCCGGTGTTGGCGGCGAATTTAAAGTCTCGGTTGGAGGGCTGCAATCCAAGCAGTCTTGCACTTTTCGTGTAGGATCGTACTTGGTTCGAGTAAAAGGAAATGCCAGGCGACAGGTATCGTCCTCAGTGGTTCTTACTTTCTGTTACTAAACATATTTGAGGTATAGCGGTGCATAAGTTATCTCTCAGATGTGTTGCACATGTGAGAACGAGCCGCCATCCCAAGGCTAGCTTGGTGCTGTTTAACTGTCCCGACTCAAAACTGTGCTTTCCATTTCTAAAGTAGTGTGAACAAGGCGGTTTTTATGCGAAATTGTGTGTTCGGTAGACTGTCAGCGTCGTTAGTGTAAAACTGTACCGATAGCGCGCTTTCTCCCCAGCGCTTTCCCTCCACGCCTGTCAGCGGCTCTTTTCTTCCCGGGGTACACGCTGTAAGCTAACCGCAGGGCAGGAGTGGACGCCCTGGACCACCTGCATGTGTCTGTACTGAAAGACAGGAGACGGTGTCTGTCGTTTGGTTTTGCAGTCAGTTTGCGCGGTCACTCCGCTGGTAGCTACATCAATATGGCGGGCACGGAGGGGTTCTTTAGAGGAAGCTAGGCCGCTAAGTAGCCTTTCTGTGGGGTGTCTGTGTAATGATGAAGCCTTGTTTAACGATGCCCACATGTGTGATTAACCTCTGCTTCCAACAGTGTCCCACTGCAGGATCGTCCCTGCCTTAGTCTGCAGGACTCCATGCTGACTCAGCCCAGGAAAAGCAAGTCCAGAGGCATTCTTAGCGAGGGCCTGGACACTGAGTGCACCCCAACAGATTTCATCCTGCAGTTCACACCACCGCGCAAGCAACAGCGGCTCTTCAGCAAGGGGAAGGAGAATGACAGCAATCAATTTGTTCTTAGCAGGAGATCAAGGAGGAAAGACTCCTCACCAAGTAGGAGCAGATGCTTTTCTGATGTTTAAGATGAGGGCTTTCACCTGTGATCAACTTAACCTTTTTCCCTTTCTCTTTCCCTCTGCAGACATTTCATGGGATCAACTACCAGACGAGGTTGTTCTTAGGATTTTCTTCTGCCTTCCTCTGCAGGACCTCGTCAGAATATCTGTAGTTTGCAAGCGCTGGCAACGTTTGGCGTGAGTCATAATGATCATTAACAAAATCTCTGGCCCTGCTTCTTCCCGCTTAATTTTTTTTTTTTAAGTGCAGGGCGGATCCTAAAGATTGAGTTTGCATACTTCAAACCACGCCTCTGGTTCTTTCTCACATCTCGTGACGCTTATCACAGTATTCAAAAATATGGAAATCCGTGGCCCTGTGGATTCCTCATTAAAGGATAACTCCTAGTTCATCCATTAAACATCACATTCGAAAGTATTAAATTCTGACAAACTGGTAGACAAACGAGTTTGTGCTGCTCGATATTCTCAATGACACACACAATGAAATTCACATTTAACAGAACGGGTTGCTGTGTGCACGTTATTTACTGCAGGCTGCTGTAGGGGTTTGCCTCCATGACACCTCTTTGCTCGTGCATTCATCACAGGTTTGACGAGTCTCTGTGGCACAGTGTGGATCTAGAGGGGATGACCCACACGGCTCTGGCTCTGCAGCAGGTGCTGAGGACTGGCATCCGCAGACTGCGCTGCCCTCGCTCCTTTGTGGAAGAGTTGCACTTAACAGGCAGAGGGTTAGTCACATATATCGTGGTCTGTCCTGATTTTCTTCTTCAGTGGAAGACTTACTCTGAGTTTTCCTTGCCTGCGAAAATCTAATGAAAACTATCTAATGTCTAACTATTTAATTTTCCTTCACACCAAAGAGCTCCAAGTATTAAGTTCTGTGGCACTTAAGTAGAAAAATGCTCTTTTCTTTCTTTTCCATTATACAGCTCTTTGCAGGTGGTTCAGATGGATCTGTCAAGCTCAATCATACCAACGTTGGCTCTGGAAGACATCATCTGTCGCTGCAGACTGCTAGAATGTCTGAGCCTGGAGGGTCTGCAGCTCTCTGACACCATCATCAGGTGAGATCTGAACCATTTGCTACTGATTAGAGCAGCAGGGATGTCACTGATTCCCAGGGTCTTTGCAGCTGCTTTTCTCTTATCAAAAATATGTCTGAGCTTTTCCTGACTTCAGATGTCCAGGGAAACATGCCTTTGTCTGAAAAGTCAGTGATGCTGTTTGTAGTAGAGCCTCATCAGAGATGGAAAAGTCGTGCTGTGACTGTTGATTGTAAACTGGCAAAACACTAAATTCCTCTCAGTAAATGCATTTTCTGAATGTGTTTGAGCCTTAAATCTGTACTGTGTGTTTGTTAATCTCTTTTACTCAGCTGTCTGGCAAAGAACACCCGCCTACAGGAGCTCAACCTCAGCGGCTGCTCTGCCTTCTCCGCTCCTGTGCTCACTAGGATGCTTAAATCCTGTTCCCGGTCAGCTGCTCAGTCCTTATTTACTTTGTAACCACAGTTTCAGTTTCTCCTCTGCCTCAGATTTACTAATGCAATTATTTTGTGTTTCAGTATACAACAGCTGAACTTATCATGGTGCACCTTTGATAATAATCACATAAAGAGCGTCGTTGATAATCTCAGTTCCAGTGTTACACATCTCAACCTCAGCGGTTACAGAGAGAGCCTCACCCTAAATGGTGAGTGGTGGAGATCTTCAAGTCACTGATTTCAACACTAACAAACACAGCTGGTTTGTCCTGAATGATGTAACACTGAACAAGCTGCATAATGATACAGTAATTTGATTCACTTGACAGCTTGAAGGGTAACACTGAGGGTGCTGAAGTCAAATTACTGTAGTTTGTGAAAACTATATATAGATCGATCTAGATCTTAAAGATTGTTTGAGTTGCATCATTCTGACGTGTGTCTGTGTTATTTCTCATTTTTAGATGTGAAGGTGTTGGTGGAAAAATGCCCCCAGATTAAAACTCTAGATTTGAGGTAAAAGTTTAGTCATTCTTCTATGTTTGGTATTTAACTGTGGGGTTTTTCTTTAAGTTGTCTCGTTTTATTTGCTATTGCAAATTAAATTGTCATGGATGGAAAAATGTCTTTACTGTGGCCACAGATGACTGCAGCTTAAAATCTGTTTCTGTGTGGCAGTGATAGCACTCTGCTGACAGCTGACTGCTTACCTGTCCTCAGTCAACTCAAGCACCTGCTGCATCTGTCCCTGAGCCGCTGTTATCACATTCACCTTGCTGCTCTCACGTAAGTTTTTGTCCGCCTCCCACCTCCATCCATGTCACTGCTAGTTAGTGTGTCCCATCTGATCGGATCTTCTAGCTTATTTATTTTTTTTGCCACAGGTATGTAGATGTTTGTTTGTGATTATTATTCAGGTGGAAACGCACTGTCTAAGTTACTAGTAAAGTACACGGATGATGATTACAGCACTAGTCTGTTTGGTAACTAGTGCTAGGTGTGGTGTTCATTTACAGTTTGATTTTATTAGTACAAAAACTCTGCTCTAACCTCGAGCTCTATATTTGGGACTTGTTTGCATGAGTGAATACTGAAAACTAAATGCTGGTCTAGATTTTATTTGGGGCCTAAACGGGGAAAATCTGTTAAATTTAATTTATAGTTTTCTAAAAAGAATATAGAATCATATTTGAATAACTGAAAATCACGATTAATACTTTAGCTGGTGTGATTGCAGTGACGTGGGTATAATGTTCCCTGTGCTGAGCCAGCTGGATGTGTTTGGGCTGGTGCAAGATAGCCAGCTGCCCTCTCTGAAGAGGGAGATGCCTCATGTGAGCATCAACTCCAGACCCTTTTCAAGCATCGCCCGGCCCACACCGGCCAGCAGGTTTGTTGGATCCACCAGCGACCGCACCATGTGGAACAAGAAGTGTCGACTGCGGTTTGGACTGTAACAACCATGGCTCCTCCTTATTTCTTTAGTCCAGTTAGTTTGTAACGCAGAGAGTTTTGTCCTGCAAAATTCCAATGCATTCAGGTCTGACCTGGTGTGCAGTAATGGAACAATGTTTCAGTGTTTGCTGCTAAAGAATATGCTTTCTAGCCTTGCTTGCACATTTGTGTGCTCTTAAATGCAGAGCACGCAAGCTTGTGAAGAAATGTCAGGGTTGTGAAGTGAAACGTTACATTGTTTTAGGTTCTAATAATGTGTTAATTCATTTAAAAAATGTATTGAGCATGGTTTACAAGGGGGTAAAGTGATTTAATTGGCTAAATACTCGTATCAGTTTTGCTCACTAATATCTGGAAATCAGTAAATGCATAACGAAGGTATGTTAAGGAGGCATTTACTGTGCTGCCTAAATGATCACAGATCTTTTGATAAGCTTAATGATTTTAAAACGGCCTCTTCTATTTTAGAAAAGTCAAATATTGACTATCGTCCAAATAATTTTAACTTGTAATCCAACATTTATCAGTTGCATCCTTACCTCCAGCTGTCGACATATTTAACAGTAAAAGTGTTTTGTGTGTGTCAGCTGTAAGAATGAGAGAACATTTGATTTTAATTGAACCAGTTTTAATGACAACTGATATATGTGGATCGGTCTCAACACATTGTTGCTAAAGAGACTACCTTTTATGGACTTCCAAATAATCTGTGTTGCTTGGAGTAATCCAAGTAGCTCAATAGTGTGGTTGTGTTTGCCCTCGTGTCAGCTTTAACTCTAGAGGAACATGTGAATGACTTATTTTCACCTCTGCGTCCTTTCTCATAAACCACTTTAAACTAAAAGCTATTGAATTTTTCTGTGGGATTTATTTAACTTAAGGAAACTTAAGATAAGGAAATGTACAGTTTGTGCCACATGTTTATGTAATGTTTGCCTCTGCAGCATCAGTGGATTATTAGATCAATAATGATGTTCAAATGTTAAGTTTGATTTAAGTTTTAAAAACTATTGCTTTTCCTGTAGAGAAATGAGTTGTTATACATTGTCCAGTTTTAAGGCTTAAAAGTATTTGGACAGTGAAGAAGTAAGCAGATATTTTAGATTTCTTGTACTAAACTTGGATTCGATTGCTACTTGTATGAACCGACAGGAGTGAAGAGATGTGAATAAATTGAAAACCCTGAAAAATCATAAAAGACCTATTGGAGATCCCAAAAGGTTCATTCTGTTCATCTGGATCGTGTTTTCAATGTGAGAAATGTTTTCTCACTCATCCGAGTAACTTCTTCAGTCTCAGCTGACTGCAGGTTTCCCCAACCATATAAACGGTACATTTACAACAGTACATGTACAGTTTATAAGGTTGGGGAAACCTGCACTCAGCTGAGACTGAAGAAGTTACTCGGATGAGTAACAAATAGGCCTCGGCTGTTTCCCATGATGCACTGAGTATTTCTTCTTTCCCTCTCTCTGTGCTTACGAACCACTCTGCTCTCTGGTTCGGTTTTCTTTCCCTCAGCCCAACCAGTTTCAGCAAATTGCTGCCTCTCCCCAAACAGTGTCAAAGGATTCTTCCTGTTAAAAGGGAGTTTTCCTTTCCCACTGTCAAAGTGGGAAAGGAATTACCGTTGGGGTTTTCAGTTTTCTCTGTAATATTGTAGAGTCTTTACTTTACAGTATAAACAGTGTACATTTGTGGGCATGGCATGAACTGTGACATACTTGCAGTGCTGACAGATGATTTTCTTGTGCAGTTACAGCAGACTGACTAAAATGGTACACTGTGCAGATGATTAAATGCACTGAGCATAACCAAATGTATCAAGGGCAAGGGAGGTTGCTGCAGAGGGATAGTTTTTAGCATTTCTTCCAGCAGACAACTTCTCAAATCTGATTGGGGTTTTTTTTTTTTTTTTAAATTAAGGATGACTCCTCCCACAATTTGGACCATTATTTCAGCCTCCAAATTGTTAATTATTAAAAATGATAAATTTCCTGTTAAAGTCACAACGAAAAACAACCTGCTCGATACAATGAAGACAGGAAGGTAATAAGATGAGCTTAATGGGGGGGGGGAACAAAAGCAGCACACAGAAGCACTTGTAGTTCATATCACTTTATCGAGTTCCAAAACAAAACATTCCAGTAGTGTGTTTCCATAGGGAAACTTGCCTTTGGCATGGTGCATGTTACACTTTGCAGATAACTTTTCAAACAGAACATGGTTTTTGCAAGAACGCTCCAAGTCAAGAGATTTGTTGGGTTAAAAATAACTTTGTATCCATCAGATACTGTTTCACCTATAACTTTAGCCATGCCCACCACAGACAAGACTGTTTCCTGTCTTAGGAGGTGTCAAGAAACAGCCCCTTTAACTCTACCAGAGAAAAAAAAACCAACCCTTTAAACATGGAGCTCTCTTTGCTGCACTACATTTTTTTTTTTCCTCTAAAACTTACCGTTCTGTGTGGCTCAGACAGCTAGGAAAAATAGACACTATATTCCAAAAATATCTTTACTCGGCAAGCCGCTGTGCTTCAAGTCCTCTGCATACATTTACAATTATAAAACTTACAGCGGAATTGAATATATGCTTGGAAAGAACAGGACTGATGAATCTAGATTTTTCTCTAGTGTTAACGAGGCCCTGAAACCAACAGAGAATGTCTCCTGGTAACAAATACTGTACCAAAGCCAGATGTAGCATATCCCACAGTTGGCCACAAACTTAGGTTAAATGCATTAGTGAATGTTCTTTCAATACCATCAAGACATCCTGTAGATTATTTCCCCCTCAATTTATAGGATAGTAGATAGTAGGATGAGTAGGAAATGTGGATTAATCCACCACTGAAGACAGCTGGCTAGCTTATAGTATTGGCTGATAATAACTTAACATATCCAGTTATATATAGATATATATTTAAAATGGAGTGCTTTGAGTGGTCTGTAGGAACAGAAAAGAACTCCATGCTAGTTGTGCCATCAGTACATATGTCGAGTGTTAAAAAACTTGTTTTGGTGGGGTGTTTAAAAACCCTGTCACAGTTTGACCAGCAGGGGGCTTTGCTTCCACAGTCTTAGCACTGCGCATCACATGTAACAGGAACGCATCACAGAGCCAGACGGTTGTGCCAGTAAGTTACTAATCAGTTTGAAAATAATGATTCCTTTTAGCCTACATAATATATATATATAGAGATTGGAGATGTAACATGGTAAAAAGCAAAAATTAAAAACAAATACCAATTGTCATTAGTATTTCAATAACATTCAATAACAATTGTGTTATTGTGTGGTTTTGTACATTTATGGTTACACTCTCCCCACGTTCTTGCACTTTTACTTCATCTTCAATTTCCCAGAAAGCTCCTCACATGAGTCAAGCATTTCATTATAATCAGCTCAAGTTATGCTATCAGTGGTGATAATCAGGAAGTCAAAGTGTGACACTGTCCTAATCGTAATGCATGTATAAAAAGAATCACCTGATGTATCAATATCAGAAGTTTGAACTCCTTAGAAATCTGCAGCCATGTTCTGTTTAAAGGGTTTTTGTGTATTCAGCAATAAATGATAAACTTGAGGCAGAGTAATTTGGATTTGTTGACAACAATAACTCTGAATAACTTTGCCCATATTCTTAAAGCTCACTCAGTAGTGTGAAACCTACTGAAAATCTTTGTCCTGTTTCAGTGTGGGGCAATATTCACAAACAGTTTGCTGGATCAGTGTAGCTTTTATGTCTGACGTTTCCAAAAGACTTCAGGTCTACAAAGAGTTTTTACATTCTTTCATCTTGGCCTTAGTTTCACTGCTCACTTTAGGGCTTGTGCTGATATACCGTAAATATAATCAGAAACTGTATCTAAATAAAGGATCATCTTTGTAGCTTGGAATATTGACACAAATATTAAAAATGAAAAGTGTAAATGGGTTTTGTTTGTAAAATATGTATAATAAAACAAAAGCAAAGGACAAATACTTCCCTTTGAACACATCCACTTGTGAACACTGTTAGCTTGAGAGATATTCAGACTTGTCTCAGTTTTCTAACACAACAGTCCGGAGCTGGTCCTCCTCGCTCATGCTGATTGTAGCGATAGCACCATCGTTGAATTCAAAGGAAGTCCCACCATCCACCACCATGCAAGCATCCCAACAGCGGGAGCGGACACACAACCTGAAGGCAGAAAAGAAGGAAAAAAACCCCAAAACGATCAAAGGCTTCAGTTACAGCACAGACTCATCGACGTTCTGCTCTGCCTGAGACTGGTGATCACCACTGACTTTGTGGCAAAGCCTCTCTGTCGACTGCTGGAGAAGACCCTGTTCACGATGGGCTCCCTGACGCTGTAGAACAAACGGCTGTCATCTGGGCTGAACACCAGAGACTTGTTGTATTCCTCTGTAACTGATCACACAAGTGCAAGAGCAAGATAAAAAAAGGCTATAAAACTACACAAATCAACAATAATGACAAGAGAAATAGGAGCTCACCTTTTTCAATTAATTCTTGGTTAAGGGGGATATCCAGACCTGACTGGGATTTCCCTGGAAGAAAATAAAAAGGCATTTAGGAAACAAATTGGGTTTTATGCATGCAAGGACCAGTTACAATCTACAGTTCCAGAACAGTACAATAGAGGCCAAATATTATCTAATACATTTTGGATTCCAGGTAAGTGGGATCACTGCAGTTTGTTAACTTTTGTTTTGAAAATTTGAGAAGTTTAGCATCAACCTTACTGTGTGTGTTACAGTTTAAGTCAGCGGTCCCTAACCCCCGGGCGGGTCCGTGAGTCGTTTGGTACCGGGCCGCGAGAGTTGCGGCTCAGGTGTGAAATGTATGGTTTTCAGCGTTGTTTTGTTATCGCTTTTATCGTTAACTCAGTTTTCCTGGGTCTTTTCACGTGTGTTATGAATAAATCTTCTTTTTTCGGTACCGGTACTAGTTTTACTTTGTTGTATTTATCCGCGACACCTTAAAGGCCGGTCCGTGAAAATATTGTCGGGCATAAACTGGTCCGCGGCGCAAAAAAGGTTGGGGAACGCTGGTTTAAGTGAAAGGTCCTCAGGATTACTAATAAAATAATACCAGGTTTTATTCTTTTTCTCCCCTCTTAATCCACATGCTGATGGAAAGTGGACCTTTTGTACCTCCCCTTATTTTCTGTCATGAATGCTGTTCCAGTGGTGGACACCAGAGTTATTAGAGTTTTTCTTTTTCATATTTTATTGCTTTTAATTGAATTTAGTTTCAGTCAGCTCCAGAGTGGAATGTTTAGTTTTATTTGTTTCAGTGTCTTTTAAATTATTATTCTATGAAGTGGAGAGTCAGAGGCAACATTTCTTGTAGGCAGGCAAGTACCAATAGAATCTTTACCAGACTAACACATACTAAAACTGAGGCTCTTTCCTTTAACATCATTTCAGTTGGTTTTAGCGTCAGTCTAGTTTTTATTTTCCATTTTTAGTTTTAGTTTTTATCTTACTTAACAATAATAATAACCTTGGGTGGATACTCAGTGTTACCCCTGTCCACAGCTTTAAGTTATGAGGTAAGTGTATGTGCTTTAGCCCTAAAAACTCCAGACAATTTAGTATGTATGGATCTGTTTGACACTCGAATGTGCAGTATGTTTACCTCAGGCACACAGCTCTGGGTAATGTTACACCCACCTGCTGTTTAAAGCTCCTGCTTACAAGGGTCAACTATTCAGAAAAAGATGGTTAAAGGGAAGGGTGGCTTTAGCAGCAGAACTGCCAAGAGGTCATTAAAAAACAAAAATCATATAACTCTAAATAAATAAATAAAATCTGAACTTCATATTTAATCAGTTTGTGATAAATAAATTTAAAAAATCATCAATATATCATTACAGTTTTATTCATCACAGTGAATTTTGGGGTGTGTCAGAGCAGTGGGGGAACCATAGGTGAATTGAGGAGGTGAAGGGCTTCAGACCGAGTGGTTGACAGTGAGTAAGAGAGCGGCTGCATCGGGCAAATAAAGAAAGTGGTCTTTTTCTTTTTCAAATATACACAAATTGTTTAGATTGACAACCAGGCAAATGGAACTACACATTCTTCTTGAGAGTTTAGGTGTTACTATTTTGCTGCATTTGCTGATAAGGAACATTAAGACAGACACATCTTGCAAGTCTCTGCCTGCTACTCTGCAAAGTTATGATGATATCTGCGTAGGGATGGGTATCGAAAACCGGTTCTTGTTGAGAACCGGTTCCCACTGTTTCAATTCCTTGGAATTGTTTGCCATT